ATGAAGCGCTGTCTTTTGACTCTACTGGCAGAGACAACTGGAAGCTCTCCTCTGGTCTCCCCTGGACCCTGCCTATTGCCTGTCTTCTTTGCTGATTCTGTTTGTTATCCTTTTGCTGTAAAAACTATTGCTGTAGGCTTTTCTGAGCTCTGTGAGTCCATATAGAAAACCCTCTAGAGTATGGTCTGAGGGTGGTCCTGGAGACCCCCAACACAGGCAGGACTTAGGGAGAAGAAGGGGGACACTGAGAACTGGGCTTCCTGACACCACTCTCTGCTGGGGTTGCACATCTCTCTGGCTGCTCCTTGTCTGCCCCCCTCACTGACTCCAGTTCCCCCTCCTGACTCCAGGATGGCACGCCCCAGGGCTCAGCTAACCCCCCTGTTGGTCTCATTTAGTGCCATCTAGATCCTCCCAGGGTTCTGTCTCAGCCCAGACCCCTCCCTTGACTTCTAGACTCCACATTTGAGTCCATCTCTCTACCTGGCTGGCTAACAGGCAGCTCAAATTCCAAAGTCCAAAACTGAGCTCTCGAGCTTCCTCGCAGATCTGCCTACTGCCCCTGCCCCATCTCCTGCATTTCAGTGAATTGCAGCTCCCCCTTTCCGGAGGCGCAGGCCAGAACCGCTAGAGGCACACAACCCCTCTCTCTCATCGCCCCGCCCACATAGGCAAAGGCTGATGCTTCCTAACCATTAGCAGCACCTGACCACTTTTCACCACTTCCACTGCCATTACTCTTGTTGCGGCTGCCATTATCTCCCACCTGGGCAAACATGACAGCCTCTGTAACAGATCTCCCTGCCTTGAAGTCAGCTCTCATACAGCAGCCACAAGGATCTTGTTAACACCCAAGTCAGCTCACGTCCCTCCTGTGGCTCCCAGCAACCCTAGAGCCAAAGCCAAGTCCTCACCACTGCCCACACAGCCAGGAACCATTTACCCCCATCCCCACTCTGCCCTCATCCCCCACCCTCTCACCCCTCCAGTGGGCCCTTTGCTGTTCTTCCAACACTCTCACCCCAGGGCCTTGCAGTGGCTTTTCCCTTTGCCTGGAACATCCTCCCCCAGACATCCACCAGGCTCCCTCCGTGTCTTTACTTAGGTCTTAATTCCCTTGTCACCTCCTCGGGGAAGCCTTCCCTGATCACCCTGTCTAAAACAGGCCCCTATCTTTTCCCATCTTGCCACTCTGCTTCATTGCTCCTCCTCGCATTTACCACTCCCGAGCATCATATTTTATATTTATTTATTGTCTTCCCGACTGGAAGCCACGGGGGCATGGCTTCATCTGTCCTGGTCACTGCCAAATCCCCAGTGCTTAGAATGGGGCCAGGCAATAAGCAGGTGCTCAGACAATTTTTACTGAAAAGAGTAGATGAGCAAAAAAACATGACAGGGCCGAGGGGCCCCTATCCTCACCTGCAGGCGGGACAGGACATGGTGGTAGTGAAACAAGGTGCAGAAGTCCACGTGGGCTGAGAACTCTTCCAAAGCCGCCTTTTCCACAGGGCTGGAGTGGAATTCCTGTTACCCCAGGAAGCAAAACTTCTTTTTAGGACTCTTTCCCCTTCCTAATGGGAATTCTTTGCCGGGCAGCCAGACACAGATAATCACAGTTCTGGGGTCTTTGTTTGGGGAGGTAGAAAGGGGTTGGTCAATTTTACTGACCAAGAAACTAAGATAGCCCAGTATATACTGAAAAACAGATGGCTGGAAGCCTAGAAGGTCAAGTTCCTGCTTTGACACTTACTCAGCAACATTCACACAATGCTAATTGTGTGCCTGGCACTGTTTGCCGGCACAATGCCATCCTCCAGAGAATGAATGTAAAGCAGTTGATGGATTTATAACCCCTAGTTTTCAGTGGGGGAAGCTTAGGCTCAGAGAAGTCATCACTTCCTGAGGGCCACAGTGTCTATATAACCGGGAGTTGACACTCCAATCCATGCCTGACCCCAGAGCACACATATTGAACCTTTTCTTTATGCTTCCTACCTTGGTGCTCTGGGTCAATGTCTTCACATCTCTGAGCCTGCTTTCTTATTAACAACAGAGGATCACACCCTCTTCTCAGAGAGCGATGGTGAGAATTTAACGCAACTATGGGTGTCCACATATACATGTATGTTTATGTATGTGCGTATATATTTGTGTGTGTGTGGATAAAGCTGAGGACAGTATTTAGCACATAAAGAGGTGTTCAATAAATAATTTGTTAAATGAATGAATGATGATCTTCAATAATGACAAGTGTGATGAACACAGCTGGGTAAGAGCTTAAGCTCTGGAGATGGACCAGGTGAGGTAAATGAAGCAAAATTTAAGGAGACATTCATCCTAAGGGTCAAGCAAGTGCCTACTGCCTCAGCCTAGTCCCCACCCTGCTTTAGGGTCAGAGCACTTGGTTCAAATTTGAGCCACTACATCACAGCCCCGGGTAAATCCCTTTCCTTCTCCTGCTTCAGTTACCTTTTTGCAAAATAGGGATGATGGTGGCATCTCTCCTACTGGGTTGTCCTGATGATTCAATAATATGTGAAAAATGCTTAGCACCGTGCCATACAGAGACAGCTCAAACAGTGTGATAGCAATTACAATAAGAGCTTCACAGACATAATTATCAGTGGGTAGTAGGAATGGTAATGATGATGATGATTACCCCATTTTGCAGAGGGAAAAACTATGCCCCAATAAATGCTTGTTGCAAGCCCCCAAAACAAGCTAGAGTCAGGAATTGCGGCTACATATGCATCTCAGAGGTCTTACCCAGCCTTCCAACTCACCCCGCGCCCACCTGGGACTCTAAGAGGAACTACAACTCCCAGGAGGCGCCAGGGTATTCCTCTATAGACGTAGGGTTGTGCCGCTGCGAGGCCTGCCGGGAGTTGTAGTCCCCCGGCTCTTGAACCCGAGACTGACGGTACCTGTGTCAGGAGGCGGAGCAACTGCTCCTTGGAGAACGGGATGAACCGTTCGCGGTACTGCTGGGCCCAGTCGCGGGGCTCCGTGGGGTTCCTTATCTTGCGGTACTCCCCCATCTTGGCCTGCAGCGACGACAGGGCCCGGGAGCGCCCGAGGATTGCGGGCAACAGGGGCCATACTCGGACCCCGGATCCCCAGACCCCCCGGGTCACATGTAGCATGGCCAGACCCTTTTCCCGGAGCCTAAATGGGGGAAATGAACAGGGGCCAAAGGTCATCCGGAGGAAAAGCTTATATACTCCACTTCCACGCCCCAACCTCCAGGGGCCATCCACCCCCGGCACGGCGCAGAATCCATCCGCCCGCCGTCTAACACCTCTTGCCCGTCCTACCCACACTGTTCTTTTGGACTAGGTCCCAGCAGGGATTTAGAAGTCTCAGGTCCTGGTGCTTTTGCGGGCCCAGTGACTCTGTGGTGCTACAAGTGGTTTCTGCGGGGTCTGGGCTGAAGGCGGACCTTAAGAGCATAAGCGATGCTCAGAAAAGCTACATAGTGTGCAAGGTCGCCCTCCCTGGACCATGCAGTCCTCTGCCCTCTCCCTCACCTTAGCCAACGCTCGACTGTCATTGAGCCTCCTGCGCATGTGCAGGAAGGCGTCCTTGGGCCCTTGAGGTTCAGCTTCAGCCTGCACTAAAACGCATGCGCAGATCCTGGTCCATTTTTCTCCTGTACCGCCCTGTCTCGACTGCTCATGCGCATTCTTCCTGTTTTTGTTTTTTTTTTCCCCCCTCTACTCTCATTGTTTGGCTGCAGCGCATGCGCCGAAGAAGTATCTCCTTGTCCGCGAGCTTCAAAGGGAAAGGGGCCGGGCGGGTGGGAGGCGCGAGACCCCGGGGAGGGCAGGTTGGGGGAGGGCTCTCGCGCACCACCAGCCAACGGCGGGCAGGCCAACGTCCGCTGAGGCCACGCCCCAGTTCTTGTCAGCTCCTGAGGAGTTGGGAAAAGAGGGAAGGCGGGACTTGGGCGCAGCCAATCAGCTGTGGAAGAGCGAAAAGGCGGGAAAAAAGCGGAACCTCAAGAAAGCCAAGGTGGCGCCAGGGACCAGGACAGGAGAGTGGGCGGAAGGAAGAGCGGGCCTCCAGGTGACGCAGAGCGGGTCCTCAGAGTAGGGGTGGCGTTTTGCCAGGCAGCATCACCCCCAAGCCCTACCACCCCCATTTTCATATCTTTAAAGGAAAGATCTATTTCAAGAAGGCAGCTTAGCGTAGGGGACATAGCCTCCTAATTCTGAGGGGACATTATCCCCTGTTCCCCACACATCTGAGGTCCAGACCCCCAACTTAAGAAAATGTACTTTTATGAAGATGGAGCTGAAATCTAAGGGGAGGCCCTTATTCTGAGAAAATAACCCCAAATCACGAGGACAGCGTAAAATATACCGTAAATGCCTGGGTTCTCCATTACGGGTGCTGTCACCTCATAACCTGAAAGGGGTTCTCCTGGGTCAGACCATCCCCCAGGGTTCTGATCCTCATCCCAGCACTCCCCCAGTCCCTGGAAAACGTCACTGTGTCCTCTCACAGAGCAGCGTCCTTGAAACGGGCCCTCTGGCTCCTGTGTCAGGGACATGCGCCCATAGCCCAGCCCTGTTGCCAGCCCTTCTCCCTGGCTTGGGTCTCCTCACCCTGCACCCCCACCCCTGGGACCTTGGCAGCCCCCTCACCCCACAGCCTCCTCAGCCTGGATTCCTGACTCCAGGGGCCTCAGCAGCCCTCTCTCCCTGTACCTATACCTCCCGATTCTCAGGAGCCCCCTTACCCTGTGCCCCAATCCATGGGACCCTCACCCTGCACCCCCACCTCTGTGAACCCCAGCAGTCCCTTCACCTAATGCCCAAGCTCCTAAGAACCCTGGCAGACCTCTCACCCCTCACGGGGTCCCACCCTCCCGTCACCCAGACCCATCACCCCTACTCCTGGGACCCTGGCAACCCCTCCACCCCATGATCCTGACTCTACCCTCCCACATGCAACTTGTTTTGCAGCAGCCGAGCTCCAGGGTAGTGGGCCTGAGGACTCCGGCCAGCGGCCAGCAGGCCGCGTTCAACATCCCTGCTCCCACTTCTCAGGGCCCCGGCAGCAGAGCAGCCGCCATGCGCATCCCTGAAAGCCTCCAGGACCTGGCTAACAGGGAAGTTGTGCAGTTTCTGAAGAGGCCAAAGACGGTGGCACGGATCTTCGGAGGGGTGAGGCCCTTCCCAGGGCCCAACTACCCTATAAGTGACAGAAACAGGAGTTCTCACCTCTCAGACACAGTGCAGAGGGAGTGGGAGAGGAAGGGACCATGGGGAGACAAGCACAAGAGGGCTAGTAACCGAAGTCACCTTGTACTGGTCATCCAATTGCAGGTCCTGTGCTCTTCTGAGCACCTGTTAACTCTTGGAGGACAAAACAACCCTTCCAAGTAGGTGCTATGAGCCTCATTTTCCACGATAAGAAAATGGAGGATCAGAGAAACTTAAATAACTGTTTTAAGGTAGTGCTGTCCAATAAGGTAGCCACAAGCCAAATGTGGCTACTTCAACTTAAACTAATTAAAATATTTCATTCCTCAGTCACAGTGGCCACATTTGAAGCACCCACCAGCCACACGTGGCTGGTGGCTATCACACTGGACAGTGTCGATCTAGAACTTTCCATCATGGCAGAAAGTTCCACTGGGCAGTGTCGGTTAAGGGCACACAGTAAGAGGCAGGGCCGGGATTCACACTGGTTTCCCACCTCTCACAGAACTAGGAGAAAAGCAGGGCCTCTAGGAAGAAAGATTGGAAGGGAATAGGTAACATAGACCCAAGAGACCACGTCTTGGGTGGTCGGTCACTGTGTGCCCGGCACTGTGCCAAGCCAGGCATTCGTTTCATTATCACGTTCCCTAAGAGCCAAGACACTTGAGCTCAAATCCCCATTCAGCCCAGACTTCGCTGTGTGACCCTGGGCTTTACGCTGTTCTGCCTCCAGGGCTCTCCTTGGATGAGCTGGAAACTGCGGCCCAGGGAGAGGATGAGACTTGATCAGGGTCATGGGAGTAGAGGGGTGCCCTGGATGGAACCCAGGGTCCTAATCCAGAATATCTGCTCCCCTACCCCTTTTGGAACCTTTAGTCGGAGGAGGATCTCACAGACCTGGCTTAGAATCTTGGCCACATGCTTTCCACGTAGGGTGACATACTTCCCAGTTTCCTCGGCCAGTCCTGGTGTTATTATCAGTAGTACCACCTTCCATTCTAAGAAGTGCCCTATTTTGTTCACTAACTTCAGCTGGCCACCCTATTTCTATAGATGTCAAGCAAGTGACTTGATTTCTCTGACCTCTATACCCTCATATATAAGAAAAGGACCCTAATACCCTGCTTGTAGGAAGGTCTGTTGTGGAAACGAAGCCAGTTAATGCCCTTAAATTAATTAGCGTGGGCCCAGCAATCTCTCCTTAAATAGCGACTATTACTGGGACAAACCATTGCTTGTGAGGAGAGAGATGAGTTTGGGGTGGGGTGGGGGCAGCCTAGAGCATGTGCCCCCGCTGTTGTTCTCACCCAGGGGAAGAGGGAAATTCCGAGCCCCAGGTCCCAGTTTCCGGTGCCTCGCTGGTATCAGTTCTGCTCCTCGCCACAACCCGATGACAGACGTCACTGCTCCTCTTGACCCCTGGGGAAACTGACACTCACAGAGCTGAGTGACTTGCTCAAGGGCATCACCTAGCTGGCGAGCAAGTCCAAAGGATCCAGGCACCTCCAAAGCTTTGGAAGGAAGGACGGATGGCGAGAGGGGTGTGGGGAAGGGGGGCGGATGGACCGCAGGCCACACCAGACGTTTTCGTCACGGATTTTGCCTGCCGCCTCCATCTTCCCGCCCGCCCGCCCTCTCCTTCCCCCCTGGCCTGGCTTCTCAGTAGGGAGCCTCTGGGCAGCTGGTGCTCTTGTCCGTCTCAGTCCCGCCTGCCAGCTGGTGCCTTAACTGATGAGTCTTTGCTCCCTCCCTGGGGACAGGCCAGGGAGGGTGTGGAAGGAGGTTGGACTTGGGCTTCAGAGGCCGAGGCTCCCTCCAGCCCCGCTGAGGCCCCTCCCTGTGTCTCCAGTGCCCTGGGCTTGCGCTGCAGCCCAAGGTTTTCAGGGTCAGTGGACAGACAGCCCATGGCCTGGAAGTCAGGAGGGCTGGATTCCAATCCTCCCTCCACGGCTGACTGACCTTGAGAGGAGGCGCCCCCAGTCTGGGCCAGGCTCCTACCCCCCCAGGCCCTCTCCACTCAGCACAGGGACATCCTGGGAAACTGAGGCTCCGAGCAGTGAGCAATTTGCCCAAGGCCACACAGCTGGCAGAGTCAGATGCGCCTGGCTCTTTCCATTCCACCATAATGGCTTCAATTTATCACCTGTGAAACAGAAATGAATTAGTAACATCTACCACGTGGGGCTGGTGTGAGGCTTCAGGGACATAGTGCAGGTAAAATGAATATGGGCTGAAAATCAATTGACAGGCTTTCCTGTCATCAACCTGGCTCTGCCTCTGACCAGCAGGCCAAGCCGCTCCCCTTCTCAACCTTTCACCTCCAAAATAGGCAATGGATGTGAATACCCTTGGTTATGCTAAAGTGCTGGACAGAAAGTGGGACTAGTTATTCTTGTTATTCAGAGAAGGCAATTAAGGCAAAGAAGAGAGGAGGATGGACAGACAGGGACTGCGGAGTTTAGGGTTAGATCCTTTGCCTCCCCCACCCCCACTCTGCAGGGCAGGGCCAGAGCAAAGGGCAGAAGTCATGCACTTTCGACACACATTTGCTGAGGTCCAGTCAGGTGCTGGCGATAGAAGGGTCCTACGTCGGCCCCATCCAGAAGTTCAAATTCCAGTGAATTCCCTTCCCCAGCCTGTGCCCCTGCTCTTGGCCCCCAACACAGTCACATCCAATCATTCACCAAGTCCAGTATTCGGTCCTAAATATCACTGGCTTCCCCAGAGCTCCGACCGCAGCTCAGGCCTCAGCGCTTCTGCCTGGGCCTTCCCACCACGCTCTCTGACCTGTTGGCCTCATGTCTTGCCCCATCTGATCCATCACACCTGTGGACATTGTCGCCAACTCCCAGGTCTGACCCTGGCCATCCACTGCTCAGATCCCTTCCATAAAATTAAATTCGAGTAAGAAATTTCATTTCCCACAGCTCCTAAGTCCAGACCCCTGTGTGGTGTTCAAGGCTCAGAGGGCCTGGCACCTGTCCATTTTTCCAGCCTCATATCACACGGAATCCCTCAAATGAGATTTCTCTCCAACCCATGAAAGAGCCCCCATGCTGCAGCATTTGGCCTTTGCACACCAGGTTGCCCTGCCTGGGATGCCCCTTCTTCCTCATCCTTTAAGGTGAAGTTCAGATCTCACCTTATTCCCCCCTTAATCCAGCCCACAGCTTCAATTCCTGCTCAATCCTTGACTCTGTTCCTGACCCCAGGCCCTGTATCCTCCCTGGCCTTCCAACCTCCAGTCTCACACCCTCAGGTCCATCTCTACATGGCCCCAGAGCTGACTCCTTCCCCTCCCCTGCTCACAGCCCTGCTGTGGCTCCCTATTGCCCTCCAGACAATGAACCCATTCCTTAACCTCTCTTACCCTTACAGGTATCACTTCATCCAGAAAGCCTTCCGGGAGTCACTCACACTGTGCACCCCATATACACACCGGTTCCTTCCGTATCTGGCATGGACCTTGCCACACTGCATTTTGACTGGAACAAATCACTGGGGGCTTAAAATCTTCCCCAAGTGACACTGGTAGGAACCCCTGTCCTCAAGGCATCTGGTTCAGCTTGACGCAGTGTTGCAGGGGCTTAAAGCAGACTCGGAAGCCAGGCGGCTTCGGTTCAAATCTAAGTGCTGCCGCTGCCACTTACTAGCTGGCTGACTCTGGGCAATCACTCACCCTCTGCGTTCCTTGGTTCCATTATCTAAAACACTGATGCCGTTAGGAGTGCCCACATCCTAGGGTAAGGACTACGCGGCCTATTAGTGCTTGAGGAATGCGTCAGTGGCGTTTCACAAATGAGCACTGCAGGAGACAAGAGTAGACGCAGACAGTCGTCCTACAGTGTGCCGTTCGTAGCGTGCACAGAGAAGGGCTAGCATGTCAGTGAGGTTGTAGTTGCCTAAAAAAACAGCACAAGAAAAGCCAAATGGTAGTGTTTGTTAGGTACTGAATGTTTGCTACATTTCTCTCTGTGTACTTTTTCAGGTCTTTGGAATATTTCACAAATTCATTTTAGAAAGCGAATAGGAACTAACGAGCTGGAGGGAGAAGGAAGAAGTTGCAGGCAGAGGGAAGAGCTTAGAGAGGGAGGCAGAGGGAATAACCACTTCAGCAAATACTTCCTGAGCTCCTCACGTGTCCTGGGCTAAGTATTGTATAATGGCACCTGGGTTTAGGGGCAGATACCCGCTGGTCTGGCAGAAGGGGAGCGTGGGAGAGGCAGGGATGAGTGAGCAAATAAAATTCCAAGGAAGAGAGCACAGACCACGCGGGACCTCAAAGGCCAGGCTGAGGGGCTGTGACTTTGTCCTGGGCAGGCCAGGGAGCCAGGAGTGGCAGGCTATGGGATGACACCTCTGGGCCATGTGGGGGATGGCCTGAGGGCAGAGACTGGAGGCAGGGAGGCCAGGGAGGAGGCCTGAACTAGGATGGAGAAGAGGGGTGATGGGCAACAGGAGGGTGTAGGGCAGGGCAGGGCAGGGCCTACTGTCCACAGATGGGGTCCTGGAGGATGGGCAAGCTTGGGGGATCCTGAGCTCCACTCTAGCGCCCGGGGTTCCCCCTCCCACACCCACAGGTCTTCTCCCTCATCGTCTTCTCCTCCCTGCTGACTGATGGCTACCAGAACAAGACGAACTCTTCGCAGCTCCGCTGTGTGCTCAACAGCAACAACCTGGCCTGCAGCTTCGCTGAGAAAGCTGGCTTCCTGGCCTTCCTCAGCTGCCTGGCCTTCCTCGCCCTGGATGCCCACGAGACCCACATCACCAGCACCCGCTTCAAGATGGCCTTCCAGCTCCTGGACTTCATCTTGGCTGGTGAGCCCCTGAACCGCCCACCCAGAGCTGCCCCTGCTGCAGCCCCAGCTCCTCAGAGCCCCCAGGACACCACCGTTGGCCCTCCAGCCACCCATCATCTTTGCGCTGCCTACACGTAACCCAACCCAACGCCCCATCCCTCCCTCCTGGCTGCTCTTCTGCGCCTGCTCTTTCCTCCCTCGGAATTATTTCTCATGCTTTAGACTCAGCATAAGGGTCACTCTTCTGACCCCCAGACTAATTCTAGAAGCCCACCTCCTGAGCAGCTTTTCTCCTGCATTCACGTCTCTTTTTCACAGAACATTACTTGAAAAGCCATCCAGTGTCAAGAGGTGGGGTTCAGAGCAAAGAGCCAGGCAGCCCTGGGCTCCAGATCTCAACTCCGTCACCCCCTCGCCCTGCAGGCTTGAGCAGGTCTCTTCCCCTCTCTGAGCTTCAGCAGAAACTGGGATGAAAACCCCACCTTGCAGGGTTTATCTGAGGATGAAATGAAAGGATGCCTGCAGTAATGTTGACTTCTGGGCACTTCCTAGTGTCAGGCACAGAGGCCAGGGCTCCACATGCCTCATCTCATTTATTCCTCAGAACAACCCGAGGAAGTAAGTCCTGTGCTCATTCCCATTTTACAGAGGGGGAATCTGAGGCTTGAGGAGGGTATGTCATTGGGCCCCCAGCTGCTAAGTGGCAGATCCAGGCTTCAAAGCAGAGTCTCATGTAACCACTGCCGAGCACCCTAGATAGAGTCTGGCACATAGTAAGCGCTAAATTAATGCGTATTCCTTTTTCTCAAGCCTGGGGCTCCTTCCTCTCAGTCTGCCTGCTCTTAACTCTTCCCCCTCCTCCTCTCCCCCATGGGGCAAGTCGCAGCATCTCAGGGATGGGAGGGCTTGTGAAGGTCACTGAGTCCCAGTCCCGGGAAGCCTAGAGAACTTTCTGTGAGCGTGGGAATACTCTATGCCCACGCTCCCCAGTATGGGAGTCACCAGCCTCATGTGGCCACTGAGCTCTTGAAGCATGGCCAGTGTGACTGAGGGCTGCATTTTTTTTTAAACTTCGATTTCAATTGACTAAAGTGTAAACGGCCTCGGGTGTGTGGCTGGTGGCCCCCCTAGTGGGCAGCTCTGCTTCCTTCCAGCAGAGGGCTGGGAGGGAGCAGCCACGCAGCCCCAGCCCCACCCTGCCCAGGCCTCAGCAGCCCTTCCTGAGCTAGCTCCCCTCCCCTCTTCCCTCCTGCAACCCCCAACCCAGTCCTCTGGGCAGGCACCTGGTTCGTGGGTTTTTGCTTGCTGGCCAACCAGTGGCGGCATTCACCACCCAAAGAGTTCCTCCTGGGGAGCAGCAGTGCCAAGGCTGCCATCACCTTTGCCTTCTTCTCCATCATTGCCTGGGTGAGGACGGGCCCCCTCTGCAGGGCAGGGCTGGGAGGGCTAGAACATTCCAGCTCTGCCCTGGAAGTCTGGGGCGGGTTCCTCCCAGGGCCTCTGCCAGCCCGCTGTGTGACTTTGGACTAATCGGAAAGGAGTCACCGTTTCCTCTGAGCAGACATGACCCAGCATTAGACCCTGTGCTGGGCGCCCTTGTCCAGTGCGCAGCATGTACAGCTGTCCCTGCCTCTCCTTCCCGGGCCAGTCCCCAACCCAGCCCTCTCCACCCCTGCCAAGTCCAAGCCATCCTCCGCCACGCCCCTCTCTGCCCACAGGTATTCCAGGCCTGCCTGGCCCTGCGGGACCTCCAGCATGAATTTCCCATCCCCTACAAGCACTCCCTGGATGAGGGCAGTGTGGTGCTGACCACCCTCTCCCCACCCTCTGCCACCAGTCCTGTCAAGATGCCCACCACTGGCCCCAACAGCCTAAGTTCCGCCAGCTCTGCCCTGTCCACCTATCTGACCCCAAAGGCCCCCATCCTCGCTATGATGTCCGACAACTAAACACCCTCATCCACATCAGTAAAGAACCATCCTCCCTCCAGAAGGACTTTTGAAAACAGCCCCCTGTCTTGCTCATTTAGTCTGTTCCTCTTTAGTCCCTGAGTGATCAGGGGTGGGGGGAAATCCTACAAGGTCACCTCAGGGGTGTTGCAGTGGGTCACATTTCTGTACCACCCCCTGGACTCTCCACCTGGGGGTCAGGGACAGCGGCAGGTTTCAGGTGGAGACAGGAAGGGAACATTTCTTTCAGGCTGTTACACACCAAGCTCCTTAATCCTCACACTAGCCCTGGGAGGGAGGCTCGAGGTGTCCCAGTACACAGTTGAGGAAGTTCAAGTGCAGAGAGAAAAATGATACTGCCTCTGGAGAGAGCACCAAGAAGAAACTGGGGCCCACACTGGCACCAGCCGTCGCTGACATCCCAGCCCAGGCCTTTCCCTCACCCCGGTGACAAGGGGCCCAGCTTAAAACCAAGCTGTGTGAGGGGTCACTGAAGGAACCGGAGATAGCAAGTGTGTGAATGAGATCAGGGGAGATTCTTGTCTTCGAATATTTGAAAGACCCTCTTGGGAAAGAGGAAGGGATTTAATTCTAGAATCTGGAAGGTAATCGGGTACTCATGAAACAGTACAGAACACTCCTGCCCGTCAGAGCAGAGCGGTTAGCCCCAGTGGGTGGAGTCCCCATTAAGGGAGTGGTGGGGACGGGCCATGTCCAGGAGCGGCATCCGTCAGTCAGCACCTACCATTCAGCACCAAGGGCCTGGGGTATCTAGAGCAGTGCTGTCCAACTGAAATATAACTCGAGTCCAGCGGGGCAGAATGTTAAATTGCCTGGTAGCCACATTAAGAAAAGTAGAATGAAACAAGTGAAATTCTCAAGTATTTTATTTAACCCATCATATCCAAACTGTTATCATGTCTCAACATATCATCAGTATAAAAGTTATTGAGGTATCTTACATTCTTTCATACTAAGTTTTTGGAATCCATTGTGTATTTCACACCAATAGCACATCTCAGTCTGGACTCGCCACATTTCAAGCACTAACCAGTCATATGTTGCTAATGGCTACCGGATTGGACAGTACAGCTCTAGAACCTTCTGGTTTTTCCAGAACAATCAGATATCCATTTCTTTTTATGTGGAATTAGCTGGCAACAAATACCAAAAAAATATTTTCATGTTATGCAGGCCAAACAAAACACACCCACACAAGGACTCTGGCCTGCAGTGCTCTCATTTATAGACTGGACAAAGGGATAGCAGTTGTGGGAGGTCAAATGTGGGTTCTATGGTCGTTTTGAGGCTTCCTGAGTGGCAGGCCCTGCACTCAGTTCTGGAGGCACAAAAGGAATGGTCCCTGTGGGCATCTGGAGGGAACAGCAGCAATGCAGTGGAGTGGGCAGCGTTCTGACATGGGAAACGGGAGCTGTGTTGGCTGGAAGACTAAAGATTTGGGCCAGATTTAGATTGATGGTTTTCAGAATGCATTCAAAGAGGTGCCACCTCCCAGCCCCAAATCAACCCAAGAAGCCCATTGCTGGAATTTTCCGTATTAGGCTTCTGGGCAATAATTCCTCTAAACAGAAGGTCCCTTGGCTTAAAAGAAACAAGTAAAAAACAGTGGAAAAACTATACAGCGGTGGCTGAATACACAGGCTCTGGCATCAGGAAGCCCAGGGACAAACCCCCCCATCTGCCACTTGCCCTCTAACCTCGGGTGCTTCCTCTGCAAGGTGCTCGCCCACTTCGGGGGATGCTGAGGGCCCAATGGGCTCATCCATGTCATGCACACTGTCTGGCATGTATGCCTGGGAAGTGCCAGTTACTGGCCTCCCGAAGCTCCCAGAGCCATCCCACAGGAGAACTGCAGCAGTTAAGAAGGTCTTAGCAGACATCTAGGGAGTCTGACTAAATCGGGGAACAAAACTCCAAAAGCTTACAAGAGCCACACAGGTAACACCAGGAAAGGAATTAGGCCAGGTGTGAAGCCAGTCTGGAGGGAGATATGGAAAATATTTAACTCCACAAAACAAAAACAAAAAATGACATTTGTAGGCCTGATAATAAGTGGTAACAACCCCTCAGCCAAGTCCTGGGGACTGTGGTAGAAAGCTCACATCCCATCCATTCAGCTCTAGCCATCTGTTGCCACCCAGAAACTGGGACCCGGCACTGTCAGATTGACAGATTTTTTTCAAGGGAAGCCAAAAACCCAGATTTTTAATGTGAAAATCTGGTTTTTAAAGGCTGACAACCGATTTTTTTTCCTTCTTTTTTTAAGGAGACAGAGTGGCTCAACAAAATGCCAAAAGAGGGTGGGACGGAGGCTGTCCATTGGCCACCTCCAAAACACATGCTTTTGAAGGTTCTCTGCAACCCTGAGGTTCAGGAGAACTGTCAGGAAAGTTCTGTGCCAAAATAAGAATCTTAGAGATTTCCTTTCCTCCAAAACCCAGAGTTACTGCGTGGAATCACGGTGCAGCCCGGAGTGTTGAGAAACCCGGTATTTATCTTCCTGCTCCTCCTAGGCCTCAGACCCCTATGGATGGCCGACAGGGTGAAGCAGAAGCAGAGAGAGGGGCTGGGGGACCCCACAAACACCAGAAAGAGAGGGCAAGGAGTAGCGGAAGAGAGGCATCATTTTCCTCGGTTTATTTCAAGAGAACAAAGAATCAACCATCAATTCTGTACAAAAACACGGCAGTTGAGCCACAGTGACCCTCAGGCCAGCCCCCTTCCCACGCCTGGCTCCTCGCCCTGCTGAACTGCCAAAAAATGAGGACAAGACCAAAAAACCCAAAGTCTAGATAAACATTATTATGAAAAATAAGGGGAGAGCTTCCCTCCCCTCCTCTTTATCCCCACCCCAGAAGTTTAAGGGGGGAGGCTGGGAGAAGGGCAGCAGGCCGGTGTCAGCAGATTTAGTGTTTGGCAACCAGCGGGGCTGGGGGGGTGGGATCTGGAAGGGAGTCGAGGGGCCTGGGGGAGGGAAAAGATCTCAACCCTGTCCCACCCACCTCCCCCACCCCCACTCAAAAACAGTTTATAAAAATCGGGACCGAGAGTAGAAGAGAAAGGAGTCATCAGAATCAAAAACTAAATAGTGGAAATATTTTTTTTTCTTCTCTAAAAGGCAAAAAACTACAAACAGCCCAGGTCCTGAGTTCCCCAAGACTCCCACCGCCCCCTGAAGCCAGGCAGGAGGGGACTGGGGAGCAGGGAGAGGCTGGTTCTTTAAAAAGTCACCCCTGGGCGGGAAGGCTCTTTCTTCATCTTGCAGGAAGGCTCTTGTCTTTCCTCGCCTCCCTCTGCGTCTCGCGGCTGCCGCCAAGGAGAAGGGGTGGCAAGGGCCCGGGCTATGCCGGCAAGCTCAGCTTCTTCCCCTTTAGGACTGCAAGGAGAGAAAGGGTTTGGGCATGACGACCCCATCCATGCGGAGGGGATGCTGGGCTGGGCAGAGATACAAGGAGGGTCGGCCCCGGGACCCCAGGCTATAAACTGGGGGAATCAGTCTGGATTACTGAGGGGTGGGGCTGGGGGGCCCTAGTCTCATCCTAGGGGCTGAGTAATGGTGGCAGGAGGAGGCCCCATTCCCTCCAGTGCTGGCGGCTCCTCTCCCAGCCTGGAACGGCGGGCCTAGAGGCCTTGGATCTCGGAGGGAGCTGGAGTCGGGGGGTCTGGCAGAGGTGGCTAGCCCAGACCACACCTCCCGCCCTCCCAGCCTGAACCCTGAAGGCCACAGGCTGCCCCCAGCCCTCCACCATATTCTCCCCTCTTTCCTTCACACTGACTCCTATTCTCTCAGGTCTCTGCTGCACTCATCATCTCAGAGGCCCTGCCAACCCCCATGGCTACCACATCCCTGGTTTCTTTCTTTCAAAGCCCTTCTCACTCTTTGCAACCATCTCTTTACTTTTCATTCACACATACCCCCATCCCAACAGGATACAAAGGGAGGGGAGACCTCCATGTTTTTTCCTACCACAGAGTCCCTGAAGCCTTCCCTGGGCCAGGGACACAGAACACGCTCAATACATTTGTTGGCTGCATGAATGAATGAGTGAATGAATTTTGGTGGGGCTGAATCCCTAAGGGTGAGGACAGGAGCTGGGTGAGGAGCAGGACCCCTTCCAGGCAGCCCTCCATGCTGGCTACCTTTGGTGATGTAGAGGTAGAAGAAATCGCAGTAGAGGACCGTCTGGACCAGGCCTGCCACGATGGCAATGAGGTCAAAGAAGCCCTCAAAGTGGTAGCGCCAAATCCAGTTGAAGAGATAGAGTGTGCGGTAGACGCCCAGTGCAAACAAGTAGTGGCTGGTGATGGTCTCTGCCTCGCCCGTCTTGCTCACCATGAACAGCTGTGGCAGGATGGCGACTGACTCCAGGTAGATGGAGAAGGTCCAGAGGATCTGCGGGGAGGATGGGCAGGAGGGAGACAGGGCAGAAGCCAGGAGGATGCAGCGCGGCGACGCCTGCAGGGTACTCCCTATGTGCCAGATGCCACGCCACCGGTCTCATCCATGTTCCCTTGCTTAATCCTCACAACGACCCCATGATGGGGATTAGCATCCCCATCCTACAGATGAGGAAACTGGGGCCTGGAGAGGGTAAGAGACTTGCCCAAGGCTGGTCAGTGGCAGAGCTGGAACTTGAACGAGGGGCTAGGACCCAGTGTTCATGAGTACTTGGCAATGAAGCTGCTCCAAAAGCAGACCAGGTGGGATTCTGGGCTCGGAGACTTCCTCTCCATGAGACCTTGCACATGAGACCCAGGTCCTCTAAGCTTCTGCCTTCTTATTTCTACAACGGGGATGATTTTCCTGCCCTTGTAGGGACTACACTCAAGGTGTAATCCTCAGAGCCATAAATCAGACTTTGTCACTCCCTGGCTTAAAATCCTCCAGTTGCTACCTCTTATTGCAACCAGGATAAACTCCAAATTCCTAACCTCAGCCTTCAAGACCCTCCTCAATCCAGCCTCATCTACCCTCTCCT